AAAGAATTATGAATAAATTAATGAGGCATTAAAAAAAAATCTAAAGTTTCTGGCCAGGTGTGGTGGCTCACACCTGCAATCCCAGCACTCTGGGAGGCTGAGGCAGGTGGATCACGAGGTCAGGAGATCGAGACCATCCTGGCCAACATGGTGAAACCCCATCTCTACTAAAATACAAAAAAAAATTAGCCAGGTGCAGTGGCACACGCCTGTAGTCCCAGCTACTCGGGAGGCTGAGGCAGGGGAATCGATTGAAACCAGGAGGCAGAGGTTGCAGTGAGCAGAGATGGCGCTATTGCACTCCAACCTGATGACAGAGCAAGACACACTCCATCTCAAAAAAAAAAAAAAAAACAAAAACACTTAAGTTTCCATGCCTTGACCGAAAAAAGTCACACGGGTTTCTTTTTCTTTAATTCACGTTTCTTTTTTTAAAAGCTGGTTAATGTGTAGGTTTTATTCAAATTCATTTGGACTGTACATAAATATTAAAAAGTTATAACATGAAGACTATTCATTAGACTATCATAGGCAAAGCAAGTGATTCACAGAATAAGTACGATTTATTGACCCTGATCATTACCTTTACTACTTACCACTATTTAACATTACTTTTTAATGTACTGTTTACTTGTTTATTGTCTTTCTTGTTTATTGTCCTGTCTTCTCCCACTAGAATGTAAGTTATGTAAGGGCAAAAACCTTCTCTTATTTTTCACTGTATGGCCAGGATCTAGCACTTCGTAGAAGCTCAGCATAAATTTGCTGAATGAGATGGGTGAATGAATACCTTCTGCCTTTGACCTCCGCCACTTCCCTTTCTTCATACACATGTTAACCAATCTTTAACGCCAGGGTCAAACTCTATTATCTCTATGAAGATTACCTCCCTGAGCCCTCTTTCTCTTTTATACCTGAATTTGGCACTTGCCAGCTGTCTGGTAATTGTTTATCTTTGCATATGTATCTCCCTTAAAATTTTTATAATCCTGTTCTCCGTAAGAACATGGGCCAGTGTCCCCAACTTTTGGCATCCATGTCGGCACACGTAAACAGCATACTGTTAACAAATGTTTTGCTTGATTCATATTAGTAGTCAATCCAGAAATTCAGTTAATAATTTCAGTTTTTTATAATGTATCCCTCCCTTTAAAATTAACTCAAAATAGGCCATGATATTACAGTGAGTCCCTCTTTATTTTTATTTCTGACAATTTTAAATTTTACATTCTCATAATTACAATTAATGCTCATAATTTACTCTATCAATCACTCTCCCTCAAGATTTTTTTTTTTTTTGATACAGTGTCTTGCTCTGTTGCCCAAGCTGAAGCGCAGCAGTATGATCATAGCTCACTGCAGCCTTGACCTCCCAGGCTCAAGAGATCCTCCCACTTCAGCCTCCCAAGTAGCCGGCACCACAGCTGCCTACCATACCTGGCTAATTTTTTGATTTTCTGTGGAAACAAGGTCTATGTTGCCTAGGCTGGTCTCAACACCTGAGCTCAAGTCATCCTCCTGCCTTAGCCTCTTAAAGTGCTGAGATTATAGGAATGAGCCACCACACCTGGCCTACATTTTTTAATGTAATAAAAAATCTTGTCAGTTTGTAGCAATACCTATAATGATGTTTCTAACCCCAATCAAGAAGGGCGTGAAGTTTCATTACTCTCTCTTGTTGCTGAGGTATCAGAGGGCATTTTTCCATTTATTCCTCTTTCCTTTCATGACAAGATGTATTCCATTCCCTTCCTTACTGATCATACTTCTGGCAAGCTTTTATTATTTCTTTGTACCTGTCCAAGGCCAAGGTAATCTGTCTTACATCCTTCTTTTGAGCCACTGTTTCCTCCAGTTATTTATTTGATTAAAATTCTAACTCCCCGTCTCAATCCATCTGTGTAGAACTGCCTCTTCGTAAAGCCTGAGCCTGCTTCTTTAAATTCAGTCAACCTTTATGAACCTCTCTTCACACAGCCAGCCCTTGATCATCAAGGATAATGAAATGCATACAAATAACAGATTGTCTACAACACAAGAAAATCAGAAAAAAAAATTGACATCTGGTTTTGGAATTTATCATATGTCGCTTTGGGCAAGACTTATTTTCCTAATTATGTTTTTTGTTTAAGCCAACATTCGGATTTTCTTTTACAATGGTGAATATCTCAGTTTTAAATGATCAGGAAATTTCTTTTAAAGCCAATCAAGCATCAACTATGGTTTTTCCTGTGAAATCTTTTTAACTAGCCCCTTTCATCTGTTGAAATCTGTCATAAAATCTGTTTTGTTTCCTCTAAATTATCTCCTTATTTTCTTGGGATTCTGATCCAAATGAGTTCACCCTATATTAATTTACTTCTTCAAACTAAAGTGCCTTTTGCTTGAGAACTCAACGCATTCTAAAAAACACTGAACGTCCAGTGAAATTTTTAGTTCAGGTAACACGAAGTAGAAAACTATTTTTGTCTAGGAAAACTTAAGAGTTCTAGGATAAATTATTACACTGGTAATTCTAGCTAATTATATTTAGCAGGATTTTAGGAGTAGCAGAAAATTGAAAAAAATTAATACTGGACAGCTATATACGTCTGCTTCACCAATATATTAATCCCATATGCTAAAAACTGTATGAAATTAAATTCCCAGTACAGGCATTTACAGAAAATAGTATCAAAACACACTTACACATAAATCCTGCCTCTTCTCCTGATCCCTACCTAAACTCTGCAACCTTCTCAACACCTACTCTTCCCCCCTCCCATCTCAGCCTCACTTCCACTCTTAAGTGTCCCACAAATAATTTTTAAATGTGTAGGAAAAAGGAAAAGAACTGGGATAACAGGATCTCCTCTTTTGCTGCCTTCTCAGTTACTGCCATTAAGTTTTTGGCCCAAGAGACTCCAACGCCCAATTTTACATGTCTATTTTTATTTTATAGGTACACACAATCACCAAACTGAACAAAAGGACAGGGCATTCTAAATTGAAAAAGGAGCAAAACTGGATAATTCTGCAGTTCTGTTCCTAGCCGCCTCCATAATCATGCACTATGATCATTTGGCACCATAATCAAGCCAAATGAGATATTTTACTTTGAGTTGCTGGTATAGCAGAGGTTAATACTAAAAAAATAATAATAATTACCACAGTTTACACATTTTTTTATCTGAATGTACATTTATAGTACTTGAACCGAGTTATTTTCAATACACTATTCACCACATTAACAAAATTCAAAATAAGTTCATTTCTAATTTTTTCCCCCAGGTAGAATTTTGATAAATGCAAAACTTATTTTACCTAAAATCCAACTCTTGGGCTGCTGTTATTTAGCCTATATTTTTATATAAGACTGCAAATGTTAGCCAAATTTTAAAAAAATTTTAATGCAACTTTCCACATTGTCTTCAAACTCAGTAAATTCCACAATTTTAAAAAACAAAAACCTTTCACCGTGCCTACTCACATTTTTACTAAAATCCCTACACAAAGCCATACATTCTGCTTTTCATTTTACTTCTCCAAGCTGCTGCCTTCACCAAATAGACTCCACGAGCCTCCCAAGTGGTATCCACCAATATGTGATTCTCAAGGAAAAGTAAGTATTAAAGAGTAATTAATTCAATTGGTACGAAATCTCTTCCTTTACAATTTTACCTCAACTTTAAAAAGACTTTTCTTGATGGAGATGAAAATCCTTTGAGGAAACGGTTGTCCTTTACATGGACTCTCCATCAGCCCCATAAGGTGAGTGGCATAAAGAGGCATTTTCTCTGACAGTCTCAGTTCCCCAAACACTAGTCCTAAGCTTTTGCATGGATGGTAAATTTCACACACAAACACCCGGAAAAGAAAGAAGAGAAAGAAACATACCTGGTTTATTTTCTAAACAGGTTTGATAGGTTTGGTTCACTTGAAAGAGCAGATTATTTACTTATAATCTTTTAAAACAGAAGTGGCAGCCAGAGCACTGGGTAAATAAAAACTTCACAGAGTTTTAAAACCCTGCATCTTAATTCACTTCCCTTTGGTTCAAGGGGACTGCACAGCAAACCCCACGGCAAATGAGATTATGCAACAGGCTTTTTTCGTCCCCACCTTATTCATCACAGGCTGGTTAGAGGTGTGCTTTCTCCAATCTGAGACACCCACGACTTCAAAACGCCAAGAACCCTTGCAGCAGATGTTTTCTAAACTTCTTTAGGATTTTGCAGTATCCATTCATTTTCAGATCTACTTGCATTTTCTCTGGTTCATTACTGGTATTCTTTAGGAAATAAACCCAGCATCTGAAGATATTTCCCTCTGTGGTGTTCCATTACATGAAACTACACGTGATACACAGACCCTGGGCTTTTTTTATTTCTCACGTTTTGCAGCTAGTGTAAATAAAGAAGTCACTAGGTATCGGGCCCCCCAACGCCAAGACTCGAGCCCCTGTCCGAAAATTGAGGGCTTTTTTGGTTGGTTGGTTGAAGAAAGCAGCACCGTCACCACCCAGGTGGCCTCGCTGATTACACCAAAGGCGAATTGGGGATAATGGGAACAGTCAGGCCGGGGCCCCACTTGGCAGGCGTGTTGTGTAACACTCGCGCCTGGAAGTGAGCAGCTTCGCCCGCGAAGGTGCCGCGTCCCGCGGCGGCCGCTCCTCTCGGCGGGGCCCGGTCCAAGCTCGCTCGCAGCGCAGCGGCCGGGAGCGCACCCACTGCGACCCCGCGCCCAGCCGCACGCCCCCTTCCCGCTCCGGCCAGCCTCCAGCCAGGCCTACACCCGCGCTTCAAACGCTCCTGCGGCCCCCGGCCGCGGTCGCCCCCACGCCGCCTCCCGAAAGGGTGGCCGGTACGCCCGGGAAGGCAGAGCCGGCGGGGCCAGAGCGCGGCTCCCCGCACCGGGAGTCGGGGCGCGCTACGGAGCGTCCATGCGGCCGGGCGGCAAGGCGCCCCGGGCCCCGGACCCTCCCGCCCGCACACCCAGCGCGGCCCGCCAAGGCCACTTACTTTTGGGGCCGCCGACCTCCCAATTCCCTCAGAGGGAAACGAAAGTTGTCACGGCGTCTCCCCTCGGGCCCCCCTCGCCTCCCGGGCTTGCGAGGCGCCGCCGCGGGGCCGAGAGGGCGGCTGCGCTCCCGCTCGCGTCCCGTCCCGTCGCTCTCCTCCTCCTCTTCTTTTCACTATATTATCTTCTCCTTCTCTGAGGGGTGGGTGGGGGCGGGAGGCTTAGGAAGAGAGGAGACGCTCGCAACTTTTCTTCACTCTTTCTCTTCCACCCTCCCCCCCAATCAGCCTTCAAAAAAAATGTCGAAGGAGATGAAGAACTTAGGGAGGTAAAGGTGGGGGGTCGCGTTGTGAAAGCGGGGGCTGAGGGGAGGGAGAGGTGGTAATAATCGTTCAAAAACTGATTAAAGCCCCCCGAACACTGATACATAGAAAGAGGGGGAAAGGCGGGGGGGTGGGGTGGGGGGTTGGGGGAAAGAGAAAGAGTCGCTGGTCAGGAAACTTCAAGCGCGGATGAGGTCATTGGTTTAAAAATAAAGAGATGGCGTCACTTGAAACCAATCCCAGTGAATGAACTCAGCGGAGCCCCGGGGAAAGGAGGAGACAGGCGAGGGCAGGGCGGTGGGCGCCGGGCGGGGCCGCGCGCCCGCCCATCCCGCGGCCGCCCGAGGCCGGAGCGCGGCTCCGCGCCTCGTTCCGGCCGCTCGGGGAGGGGTCAGGTCATGTTCCCTTCCAGAGTCCGGCGACTCTGAGGCAGGTTCCGCGGGCGCCGCTGGGAGGAGCCGGAGCTGCCGGAGGAGGCGGCCCCGCGGCCTCCTACCCCTCCTCCTCCTCCTCCTTCCGCGCCCGCGCGCCCGCCGCCCCCCGGGCTCGCGGCCCCGACCCCCTCCAGTGCTGCGCCCCAACAGGTATCGGAGGGTTTTCTCCTCACCCAGACCCAGAACCTTTCCCTCCTCCTTGAGCTGTTTCCAGCTGCCTCACCAACATCAAAAAACGCAAACACTGATTTGAGAGAATTACAATCGCTCGGTAAAAAGCCTGACGAATGCAAAAGGCAAGGCTCTGCCATCTCTCAGAAGTTACAGGTACTTCAAGAAAAATCACACTACTGTTGTCAGGCATTCAGCTACCTATATGTTTATGGTGAAAACCCCCTCATAAATGTTCCTACATTACTTTACTTATATTTACAAATACAAGGATAGCAGCCTACATTTTCTTTAAAAATGTTTTCTACAGGACGCAGCGCAGCAACGTCTTTAAATCAGACCAGGGGTTCACCGCCTCTTGAGAGGTACAAAACCCTTTATTGATTTAACTCCACGTACCTCGTGTATTTTATTATTGAAATTCATTAAAATCTCTTTGTTTTGAGATGATATTACGCACTTTGGAAAGCGAGAGACCTGAGGTGGTGACAAACCAGGACTTGGAATCACTAAATAGGACAATCGGAGCTTTATTCCAATGTTCTTTGAGCATTTGAGCATGAAGCTGCTTCTACTGAGAAGTACTCACGTGGATATCACATAACAAAGATGTGATTAATGACGGAAAAGCCCCCTGCGAGTGGACTGCTCCATGAGCCAGAATTTATGTGTAGGGATAATCTAACTCTGAAAATATTCCGTTTGCAATGTGCGGGATTGGGACACTGGACCCTAAAGGCACTGTTTGTTGTGGCATATCCATGTGCACCCTGCCTAAAGCACTTTTTTCCACTAGCAAAAGAACTGAGAAGCAGGTTTGGGTGGGTTAGAAAGATAATACACCCCTGTTACTACTTTTCTGCCTTTAAGTCCTGCAACTAAAGGGTATTCCTTATCATTGGTAATCATTGAAGGTTAGTGTTGCGGGGTAAGGTTCTGGGAACTTCTGGCCCATCTTTTATAGGAGGGAAAAGAGCCCATTTGAAGATGGGAGGCGCCCTAGCACCTCTGGCAGTAGTAGGTAAAGCCTGAAGGCCACAGATGGATAAGCAACTTTGAGCCTCTGGCCTCTGGAAGACTTCTGCTAGGCGAAGCAAATCTCTCCCACTGCTCCCTGTCCTCTGCTGGCCGGGAGGTGTTACTGCACCTTCCCTGGGATTATTTGTGCTCTACCAGGAAACCCCTAAAAATCTACTAACTGTAGACCTTTGTTGGAGGTGTTGGGATTTTTAGGAATGAAAGAGAAGATAGTCCTTTTACTAGTGGTACAGAGCATGGATCTTGCCTGAAGGAAAGATTCGTGAGAATTAATGGTATCCCCTTTGCATGCCAAAGTTCCCGTAACCTTGCTTTAACTGACATGGCTTGAAACGTTTCTCCCCTTTCCTCAGTTACACAATTAAGTGTGTGTAATGTATGATGTGGTGCCATCATAGCTATCATGGAAGCCTCTCAGGGTATTTCATCTATTTCTGGAAACAAGACGTAGATTAAAGCTCATTAAAAACGAAATCAATGATTGAGTGATGTACAATATTGGTTAAAAGAGTCAGGGCGCGGTGGCTTAAGCCTATAATCCCACCACTTTGGGAGGCCGAGGCTGGTGGATCACGAGGTCAAGAGATCGAGACCATCCTGGCCAACATGGTGAAACCCCATCTCTACTAAAAATACAAAAATTAGCCGGGCATGGTGGTGGGCGCCTGTAGTCCCAGCTATTCAGGAGGCTGAGGCAGGAGAATCACTTGTACCTGGGAGACAGATGTTGCGGTGAACCGAGATCATATCACTGCACTCCAGACTCCAGCCTGGCAACAGAGTGAGACTCCATCTCAAAAAAGAGAAAAGGAGCAATGTAGGCTGGGATTGTAAGGGAAGGCACCTTATAAAGAGTTTTGACCTTATCCTTGAAGGATAATTCAGATTTAGTTTGCAGTGAAGAAGCCAGTGGAGGGACAATTCCAGAGGGCAAATGGCAATGAACCAAGACAAGGAGGTGGAATGAATGATGAGTAAGGTGTATTCAGGTGAGAGAAGTGTAAACCCTTCCAGTAGCAGTAGAAATCGGTATGTAGCAATTAGGTATGAGGTTAAGAGATACAGAGGCACATTGTGGAGGTACTTGAATGTTAAGATAAATAGATTGTTACCTGCCCAGCAGGTGAAGGAGAAACCACTAAACAAGTTTATTTCACCGAAGAGTACATTTCTCTTTCTTTTACTGAGAAAGGTTTTCTACATACTAACAATAAATATGTGGAAACAAAAACAGAACCATTTACAATTGCTCCAAAGAACGTGAAATATTTACATGTGAATCTAACAAAACATGTACAAGATCTGTGTGCTGAAAATTATAAAATGCTGATGAAAGAAATTAAAGAAGACTAATTGGAATGGCATACTATATTCATGGATTGGAAGAATCAATAAAGATGTTATTTCTTCCCAAATTGATCTATAGATTTAACATAATTTTCATCAATATCCCAGTAAGATTGTTTGTAGTCCTAGGCAATTTTAAACTAAAACAGTGTCCAACACATCTAGAGGGCTGAGTGCTAGATTCCCCCAGGATGGAGGAAGAGCACATAAACTTAGGGCACCAGCAAGGCAGGGAGTCCAAGATTTACAATCAGATAATCTAGAAAGAAGCTATTTTTGCTTCAGTACGTGTAAGTGTGTGGTTTAGTACTGTTTTTAGTTAGAGTTAAATATGGGGAAGGAGCACCAAAATTGCTAGTTAGAATTAAATATGGGGGAGGAGCACCATAATCCTTAGTGTTTAGACCCTCTTAAGGTCTTACTTAATCCCTCCCTGGCTGAAATTTATTCATTGACAAATAGCGATTGAGTGCCTACTACCCGTATGTGCCAGGCACTGCACCTAGCTCTGGGAATATGGTTATAAATAAGATAGGTAAGGCTCCCTATCTCATGAAACTAACATTCGAGCAGAGAGAGAAGACAGTAAGTCAATAAACAAAAACCACAGCCTGGACTGTGACAAGATGGACTACACGGGGAGAAAACTGGGTGAGGTGATAGTGAATGACTTAGGGTAGGGGTGAAGGTGGTGGGGGAAGTTCAAATGAAGAGGGGCATTTGAACTGAGACCTTAAGGATGGCAACAGGGGAAGTGGTCAGGGTAGAGAAAACAGGTCACTCTAAGACCCTTCAGCAGAAACAGAGTGACTTATAGAGAGTAGGTGTGTTCCCAGAGCCAAAGGAAGCCAGTGGGGCACAAAAGTATAAAACAAGGTTGGGCAGGAGCCAGATTACGTAGTACCTTATAGTGTATGGCGTTCACATTCTATTCTAAAAGATTTAAGCAGTTAGTACAGATCTGATTTATGAAGAGGATATTTGCAAGTAAGTAAGCATTAAAGGTTGGGTTTTAGAGAGCTGGGTTTTTTCCAAGCAGATAAAAGCCTGTTTTATTTGAATGATTGGTCTCTGTAATTACTGAGGCCACTATGTATAGACAAGAAAAGAGGAGCTTTATTTCTTGGTCTCTTCCTCCTTGGACAACATCTTGATGATCTCCTCCTTCTTGGCCGGGAGGCACTCATGGAGCTTGCACACTTCCTTAGTCTTAGGCCAGTGGGCCTCAGCCTGGTCCGCCAGGAGCTTCTTGCGGGATTTGTCTACCTTCAGCTTGCAGATGATTCCATGAGGATATGCTTGTTTTTGAACACAGTCCCCTTCACCTTCTGGTACAGAGTGTAATACATGTGGCAATCAATCTTCTTAGATTCACAGTATCTTCTAGGCAGCTGGCACAGAATCCTCATTCTCCTCATCCAGGTTACCTTCCCTGGCATTCAGGCATTGGCTGTACCCTCTTGCTTACCTATGCCCAGGTGCCTGCCCTTCCGCTGGGCCAAGGTTTTCTGGCATCAAGGAGCCTGGGAATGGACAGGCACAGGCTTGCGGATGATCAGCCCATGTTTGATCAGCTTCTGGATTTGCTGATGGGAGTTAACATTGGTCTCTGGGAGCCAACCAGACCTTCTTTTTGCCATAGCAAAAGACACTAGAGGCAAACTTCCTCTGAAGCCTGAGCACACGCATGGCTTCAGCTGCAGCAGCAAAAAGAGTTTTAATATTCTTAATGTAATTTAGCAGCTCCCTTTTCCAATAGGAATTGAGTATTTTTGACAATTTTGTTAATCTCCAAGGATCCTTTGAATGTTCCGAAGTCAAATGTTCTTAGCCTAGGATTTGTGGATTCCTAGAGAGTATATAGATGAGCTCCAGAGGGTCTAAGAGCCCCCTAAAATTATGTGTATATATGCTTATATATGTTTTTCTGTGAGTGGGTCTCTAGCTTTCAACAGATTTTCTTTTCTTTTCATTTTTAATGAGATGGGGTCTCCCACTGCCCAGGCTGAAGTACATAATCATGGCTCACTGCAGTCTCAACCTCCAGGGCTCAAGTAATCCTCCTGCCTCAGCGTCCCAAGTAGCTAGGACTACAGGTGCAAACCACTATGCCTGGCTATTTTTTAAAACATTTTCTTTTTGTAGAGATGGGGTCTTGCTTTGTTGCCCAGCCTGGTTTTGAACTCCTGGGATCAAGCACAGTCCTCCTGCTTCAGCCTCCCAAAGTGCTGGGGTTACAGGCATGAAACACCATGCACAGCTGCAACAAATTTTCAAAGGATTTTATCACACACACACAAAAAGTGAGTAAGACCTACTTCACATTGAAGTCTTGGCTATACTTTTGGGATAGTAGTGCTACTGTTATCTTAGGGTTCACGACACTGAACAAATTACAGTTCTAGAAAGAAGCAAGTTCTGCCTCAAAGAG